CCATTAGACACGAGCAGTGCTTCGGACATCGGTGGTCGAATACAGTCGGTTAGCATCCTCCGCTTGGTGAGGCCATGTCTCGCAACCGTCAAGTAGAACACTACCAACTGCGGCGATATACACCCTTCCCTCAAGAGGCAGTCAGATGTCATGGTGGCGCAGCTTGGCGAAGGCTGCTCTAGCTTTCGCTAATCGTGATGTAATCTCGTCCCCAACACCATCACCAGCTGCGATCGAGCTTCCGAGGTACTTGCAGCTCTCAACCACTTCCAGCTGATCACCACAAAGGGCGAGTACAGGTACAGGCTCCTGCCAGTCTTGTGCAAGTACTTTGCATTTGGATGGTTCTAAGCATATACCTCTATCGCCATGCGGTTCAAACCGTGTTGGACTGCCTGTGTGTTGCCACCCAACAAGGCGATGTCAAGTTGTGTAATATGCCGTGATTCGTATTTCGTTATGCTTGAAAGAAAGTTGCATCGACATATGAGCTTCATTAAAAAACACTCAGAAAATACACGCTTAGTTGTGGGTTGTTCTTGACGGAATTATATTTTCATCACTTTACGCAACATATCCCATATTTTCGTTGGAAAGCTAAGGATGCACCCACTTTTCTGACACCCATTTTTTCTCTTCCTATCATCCAGACAGAAACGAAGTGGGAAAAATTAGTTGTGTCAATGAGTAAAATAGGTTTTACGGAATAACAACTGCAAATTTTTTACCGTCGAGTTAAGTGACATAAATACACTAAAACGCGACTTGTAAGAACAACTGTCGAAAACGGAGTTGGCAGGGGCGAGGGTTATCGCAAAAATCAGATTTCACGTAGGGATAAACAAAACAAACGGAAACGAACAAAACAGCTGATTAATCGAGTAACGACCATTTCTGAAGATACGAAATACCGGTAGTATCACGTTGGAGTACAAAACAATAACAAGTGATGCATTGTATCGACCGCGTTACATTAGCAGAATCGGAAAATTTGGGTGTGCGGAAAAGACAGAAGCACGTGTAAGCCAAATGATGGCAACATACTTTCAAGGTGACACGCATGAAGTAGCCCAACTGATCGTTAGAATCCAACTTGACTGACTTGCCAGGATCCATGTTCAACTTTCGCGAAGACTGGTAGGAGAAAAAAGTGGACGAAGCAATAACAACTTCAGAGATAAGATAACAACAGCGGCTATATATCATTTTTCGTATTTCAGAGTGAACATCGATGGAAAAAAGAAACATGTCGTATATACTACATCTTTATCGGGTACCATTAGAAAGTGGCAACAAAGACAGACAATAAGGAATAGCTTGCAAGTTCTAATATAGTAGGTTACACTTATTTACGAACTATTGCGATTAAGGCCATAAACGATTAAGCAGTTTCGCCAATTAGTATTTAAATCAGTAACGACTTTGATCAATAATAATGAAATATGAACTGTGAAAAGATATTCAAAAGTCCGATGGCAGAAAAGGAAACAATGTATCCTACAAAAAAGTACTCCAATTAGACAAATAAGATAAAAAGACAGTATGGATGATGTGAAAAGCACCCCTGACAGACTAGCAAGTTCTGTTGCTCCGTTCGGATGCATTTTGCGCCTTCAAAGTGCAAAATGCTGCAAGAAGGGGTGCCACCGAATCCCGTTCTGAAACTAGACGGTCGGAAATTAACTGAGATTGATTGCTTTTCGTACTTGGGTAGTGCGTGACCAAAAACTGTAGTGCAGCAAGACTCAAGCAGCGTACGCAGGATTAAAACAACTGAGACGATGAAGTGACGTTTGACCGAAGAAGTTACGTACACTGTGCCACTGTACAATTACTTCTACATTTCGGTTGAAACATTGTTGGTAGAAAACATCCATCGCTCGGTTTTCGACAAACGACGCTTATGAAGTCTTGTCCCAGGGTCCGAGTGAGCGTACCAGTAGTCGTTCGGTGTTTGGGAATTTTCCGAACAAGAACGCCCTATCGCATCGAATTCCGCTCAATAAAATACGTTGGTTAAGACACGTTCCGCGTATGTCTAACGGTCACCTACGCATTCTGTTTCACTTAAAGTGGCCGCTCCCGACTGTATAAAGCCACTTGGAGGCCAGCAGGTGACGTGGAGACGATATATGAAGAAATACACATGGCGATTACGAAGAGTACTAGTCTGTCACTTTCCGGGTTGGGGTTCAAAAGACTCGGTAACTGGATGGTTGGAGACATTGAAGGCCACCAGGGCAAACCGACAGCAGTGGTAATATTATTACTTCTTATCAAGCCAAAATGCTTGGAATAGTCCGTATGCACAGTCGGACTGCGTACTCGTTTTCTTTCCCCGTCCCTCGACGTGGATCCTCATTCTACTTACCCATTCTTAAATACCTAGTAAGCATTATGAGTTTGGTAGTGATCAATTCGTTTCACCATACTCCGCAATACGATGATGAAGAACCTTGTTGTTCTTCCGGGAGCCCCGACAATGAACAATTCTACTACTTTATCTCACAAACTAGATTAGCATAACTTTTGTAATAATCGATTGCTATAAAAAATATATTTCAAACAGGACCACCGTTCTACACCACAGAACAGATCTCACGCGGAAAGTTGGTCTAAACATGTTTTAGGCTTCATAATGAAAGAATATATACCCACAACCGTTGGACGATAAGAAGATATGATTTTTCAGGCGGAATGAAGTTAATCTTACCCGACGGAATTCTTCTTCGATCTCTTCTTCAATGCTGTCCAGTTTATTTTTCAGCTCTGCAAGTTATTCATTAAAAATCTCTTAACATCTATGTGACAGATATATGCACCACCTTAATATGCAAAAGCCAGTCGAAAGTTCTCACAAATACATATAAGACTTCATGAGCAGCAGGGCAAATCTAACCGGCTGCGCAAAACCTAGACAAACGATGGACAATAACCATACAGAAAAACGACAGGGTACCAATGTCGCCATCGCAGCAATGGATGGGAATTAGAAAATATACTTCAGTTATAAATTGAACTTGGAATAATGTTTATGAACACACAATGTAGGAAAACATATGTCTTCGCTGAATTTCTTTTTAGGTCAATACAATCATACTTATATGAAACAATTTCAATGGTGTCAAACAGAATTGTGGATGAGT